TTCAATCCCCCAGCACCACATGCCAGCCAGCCCCGCCCCCTGGTGGGCTGAGCTGGCCACACACACACACACACACACACACATACACACACACAAATAATTAAATAAAATTTTTAAAAAATAAAAAGGAACTTTTCTTTAAAGTCAACATCATTGCCAAATTTTGATATATTATACCAGGAATCATTTTAGCCAGTGATGCTTAGAGTCTTGCTCCTTAGCAAGATGTTAGCAGGGAGAAGGCTGTCAGCAGAGGCTGACATTGCTCTGTGAACCTGCCATGACCTTACTAAGAAGACAAACTACATGGAAATTGTTATGTTATTAATCTCTCTGGAGGCTTCATTTTTAAATAAAATATTTTTTTGTTAGGACTTTGCTGTTTGACTTTTTTGGAATAAAAAATATTCTGACCCCATGAATATTTCTTAACTGGAGGATAGAAAGCAAGATGAAAAGGCAAGAGAAGAAGGAACAATTTTTAGTAGTTAACTACCTCCCAGACACAATTCTAGACTCTTTCCATCCCTCATCTTATTTTATTCTGACAGCCTTCCTGGGAGAGGGTTCTGTTTCCATTGGCTGACACTGAAAGGGAATCATTTTAGCCAGTGGTGCTTAGAGTCTTGAGTAAGGCACAATACCTTACTTAAGGACACATGACTTGTAAGTGAGCTGAACTTCAAACCCTATTTGCTGATTAAAAGCTATCTTTTGTGAGTGAGAAACATGTGAAAACAGATCACAGACTCAGCTTGAACAGTGTTTTCTGCCCCAGATTTTATCTGGAGAACTTGGGAAACACTAGTATTCCATCTCAGAGTTTCTTTGCCCATTCTCCAAATTATCATTTTCTGCTTTCTTTTTCAGTTATTTGTGTATTTAGCTGACAGGCTCAACTTCGAACATTTCCATACCCCTACTAAGCCGAGTACAGAAATCCATTTGCTCTGTCCCAGCTGATTTTAGCACCAGCCCAGTTTCTGGCTTCCCAGCTGTGAAGGCTGCAGTGTCAATAGCACATCCTTACTTCCCTACATGCTGCAGTGTTGTCTTGCTTTTTTTTTTTTAACTGGGGATTTAATCCAGTCCTTTCTTCTTTTTTCCTTCTTAAATTTTGTGATAGGGTTTCACTAAATCATGTGGTTTGGGCTTGAATTTGTGCATCCCAGGATCAAAGATATGCTACACGCTACCTCTTGTTTAGCCCTTGCTGAGAAGAGGATCTAGGCTTGAGATAGGAGTGATGAATGCCGTAGGGGCTGCATTGTCATTTATTGATTTAATATGTACATTCTGCAGTGCATTTTCATACTTTTCTCATTTCTTACATTCCATCTCTTAGGGCTGGGGAGATAGCTCAGCAGTATAAGTGCCTGCCTGGCAAAGCACAAGGTCCTGAGTTTGATTTCTGGTACCACACAAAAAAAAAAGTCACATTAACATTCCCTCTCCTAATCTCTCATTTACATGGTGACTTATAGGAACTTGGACTATAATAATCTAAAAATTATATTGTGAGAGGAGTGAGCAGATTTTCTGTTTATTGGGACAATGTTTAGTCACCTGCTATTTTGAAAATCTGACTTTGAAACTCACTTAAATTTTGAGTCATATTGAGAATCAAAGAGACCAGCTGACTCACTTCTTCACCTTTTCTGTAGAGTGCTTTGGGTAGTTAATGATCTTTTCCAATGAAGATATTGTATGTCCCCATCTAGATTTTAAATAAATGCATACCAAAAAGAATGTGTTACTCCTCTTAGACCAAGTACATTTCCTTGCACATAGAAGGCATGTAATTAGTAGTTGAAGATTGTTTGCTGATACATTAGTTGCTGTGGGTGCTGCTGAACTCCCTTTAAATTAGAAATGGTGGTGTTATGGCACCGGATCTCCCAAGCTCCTACTAAGTTGTCAGGGACTTTCTGTGTCATGTGTCTTTCCAAGGAAAAATGATATACTGGTACCCAAAGCTCAAATTAAAAATCTTAAATTTTAAAAACTTAAATGTGAAAAGGCCTAACCTGGTCATTTTAGAATGCCAGCCTTAGAAGTACACTGGATAGCTACTTCTTAAACACAGTATGAAATGCCCTAAATACCCCCTTGGCTGAATCTGCCTTGGTGCCCAGAGGACCTAAATCTTGGGCTTCTCCTGTGAACTGAGGTCCTGATAAGGCGGTGTAGGGCAGGCTGATCCAATTTCTGGTTGAGGGTGGGAGGGCTGAGCATGTACAGTGTTGTCTGCAAATGGAATGAGTGAACTGGCCTCAGATTAGGGAAACTGTCTTAGTTTTTCTCATTGCTGACACAAAATACCCAACACTCAAAGAGGAAAGATTTGTTTAGCTCAGAGTTTGTAGAGGTTTCAGTTAATAATCAGCTAGCTCCAAGGAAGGGTGGCATGACAGGGGCATCACAGAGGAGAAATAGTCCATGGCAAGCAGGTAGGAGCCAACAAAGCAGCAAGCAGCAGCAGCTTGCTTCTCTCTGTTTTTAGGCAACCCACATTTTGGGTGGTACCACCCACACCCAGCGTAGACCTTCCCATTATCCACACCTGGAGCTATGCTAAACAATAAGTGGACTAATTTAGTAATCACTCATAACCTCAGTATCATACCTTTAATTTCAGCATCACACACCCTAGGTCCAGCCAGCTCAGAAAAGCCCTGCTTGTGCCCACAAGAGGCTTTGGGGAGACATCTAGTCGCAAATCATAACAGAAACCTTGTCAACGAGGTACATGACTATTCTCTTAAACAAAACAGAGAAATTAATGTAACCTTTTCCAGATGACTAAGGAGACTTTATTTTAAAAACAAGTTATTTGTGGGAACTATGATGTTCTCAAAGACTTTTGAGAGGGTGTTTATTGCTGTAGTACATGAATTAAATCATTGAAGCTGTGGCTGTTTTGATTTGATCTATGAAAATTAGATATATGGTTGCTTTTTCAAATATTAGTTGGCAGTTGAGTATTATTTGCTTTTCAGGCTTCTTCAAAATATTTTCATGACAAAACCACTTTTATGAAAATGTCAGGTATTATTTCCATCAGGAAGCAGGTCTCGTGTTCTTACCCTTTAATCTTAAATGTGTAACTTCTGACCTACATAGTGTTAGAAAAACAGGCAACTGTACTTGGTAAATCTGTGCATAAAATATGAACAAGTTGTGATCTGAATGAAGTTCTATGGTTGGTTTAAGAATAAGAGCAGGTACTGAGCTATGTTCCCAGCCCATCTTTTGTTTTATTTCATGTTGATGGGATCTTGCTGAGTTGCCCAGGATGACTTTTCCATCCTCCTGCCTCAGGAGTAACTGGAGTGCCTCAATCGAGTGATACTGTTTTTCTGGGAGGAGTAACACATGTAATCCTTTCCAACTGATACCAGAGCTTGGGTCAGTTCTTCAGGCAGCTGTCTTATGGTCAAGGTAAGATGAAGTGTGAAGGGGAAGCCTGGGCATTCTCTGGAGGACAGGACTGGATGAGCAAGACAGGGTGTGAGTGCTAGGCTTCTTGTTGGAGGAAGGCAGGGACCTGGGCAAAAGCAGGAGGAGGCTTTGTGTTGCTTGGTGGTTCTGCATCGAGCTGACTGGCTCCAGCTGTACAAGTTCTCCTCAAGCCAATTGTTTTCTACAGTTGCATTTAGAAACCACCTCCATTCTAGGAGCACATCGAGAATGAGCCTCTTGCTTTGAAAATCAGCTTGAAGCTAGAGTAGATGTTTCTTTTTAGTCACAAACAAGAGCAACAAAAATATGACTATTCTACTTTATCATTACTTTGACATTATAAAAATTAAAAATAAACCTTCAGTTTTCATTAGTAGTTTGAGAGGATCTTAAGTCTCTACATTTTGTATACATTTCAGACAGGAGACTCTTACCAGCCCTAAAACCATTTGAGAGGAATTTCAGATTCAGGAAAACAGAATCTCCCTCCAATTTCTGATTAATGGAATTTTGTAGATAGCACCAGATGAAAAGACAGAATCACAGGAAACCTTAGCCCATATCCTAGAAAACTGGTCAGGCCCCAACCTCACCTGAACACATTCATCCACCAGCAGCTTTTGACCATGGCTGTTGGAGAGCTAGGCCTCACTGTTGTGCCTCAGCGAACACAGGAGCAAACAGCTTTCTGTGGAGGACATTGCCGAAGGTGGCAGAGGGCAGGCCAGGTACTTGTGGCTCAGCTGCCACTCAGCAATGGGGCTGGCAGCCAAGCCAAACGCCAGCCTTTTCAAAAGCAGCCTTTTGATAACACTGATTACATTTCCCTCACCAGAGCCTGAGGCTGATTGAGCAACAGCCAACTTCTCTGGGTAACAAAGAGGAGGGGAAAGTAATCCAAACACAGGTTTTATTGTAAAAGCCAGGGAGTGAGAGAAGTATGTTTATTCTGTATGATAACACACCTGCTCGGCGCCTGGGAGGCTCATTTCCATCAGTTGCCATGGCAAACTCGTTATACTTGAAGGCCATGTGGCTTTGTTGCCTTTTGAGATCTGGTCCTTGTCCTACCTTTTCTAACAACTCCAACACAATGCCATGGAAGCCTGTGACAGCATAATTGATTTCTCCTTCCTTCTATCAACAGTTCACTTTTATTCAGCACAGGACTGAGTCTGCCTTCTCCTTTGAACTCCTTGCTAACCATGAAGGCATGCTTCAGAGAGCCATCCTCATTAACATTCCAGGTCCCACGTCCCTTTCAGCAATAAACAAGCCCTACATCAATGGCCTCCTTCCTTCCAGTTTTACAAATGAATGGCTCAGTTCCATGATTTGCTGCCGATCCAGGTGCCCAGGCATACAACACAGGACTAAGAAGCACACAGGAGACACTAAAAATAGAACAGCAGTTTTGGACACATACCAGAGCAGCTACTTCATCTCAACTCGCCTTGCACACTAAGCCTAATGGGATCCATCAGGCGGGAGTGCTCTCATGCTTGTCCCCGCCTTCCCTCCCCAGCTGCCTTCTACCTTCAATGCCTTCCTAGTGAAGGGAGCAAAGTGAGGTCACACAGGGTGCAACAAATGTGTGCCCTCAGGGTGTTAGTTTACAAGTCCTGAGAGATCTAGAGGCTGCAATTTTTTCTTCCATCTGAGAGTTTCTAGAAAAGAACAGGCAAGCCCAGTGTATGGTTAGCATTGACCCACTGCACTGTGACCTGAGACTCACTGTACAGTAAGGGCTAAAATAGCACTTCCTAATCACCCAAATAAATGTCACCTAGACCTGTATGCACAGGTTCCTTGAGAAGTCAAGTATAGAACTCAACCACACTAACTGTTCCTTTTATAGGGTTCATCTCCTTGGCTTGAGGCTAAGAACTAGAGAGCAAATATGGGGTGGGGAGCAGGGCAGGTGTACATCGGTGAGTCTGTGAAAGCCACGTATCTTTCACCAAATAACCTGTGACTCTGTCTGAAAGCATTTTCCAACAGAAAATTCAAATGTCAGTATGAAGTGAAGAGCATGCCACCCTGAGTGGGTACATGGCCTCCCAGCATGCCAGCTGTGCTGACTGAATAGCTAGACTGCTTTGTGTTGTTGATGTTCCTGCAGGAAAAAAGTGTCCTTGCTGAAGCCATCTCCCACTCAAAGGAGAGTTAGTGTGACCCCATATTATGCAATCTCCATAGCTATTATTACAACAAGTGCACCTTTGTAGGGTCTGAAGTGTGAGAGAAAAATGAATTGCCACAGTATTTAAAACTAAAACCCTGGGCTGGAGAGATGGCTCAGTGGTCTAAAGCACCTACTTAGAACAAGCTTGGCAAAAGCATCAGGGACCGCGGTTCAATCCCCCAGCACCACATGCCAGCCAGCCCGCCCCCTGGTGGGCTGAGCTGGCCTCTCTCTCTCTCTCTCTCTCTCTCTCTCTCTCTCTCTCAAATAAATAAATAAATAAATAAAAAATTTAAAAAAAAATTTAAAAAAATAAAAATAAAAATAAAACCCTAATGGGCATAGTGGCATATGCCTGTAGTTCCTGCTATGTGGGAGGACCACTTGAGCTCAGGAGTTTGAAGCCAGCCAGGACAACATAGTAAGAAGTTGCCTCAAAGTAAATTAAATAAATAAAAATAAATCCCCTTTCATCATTGATGCTTTGGAGATTGGCCAGGCAAAACTAAAAGAAATTGACCTAATACCAGATTCATCTGAAGCTCTGAGGAAGTATCAAGACCTTTTAAATTTCACATAATACCAGTACAAAATAAATATGCCAACCCACTTCAAGAAATGCTATGCTCCATATAATCACAGCAATAATTAATCCCTGAAGAATTTGTCACAGAGCAGGTTGCAACAGGATCATGTAATCCTCCAGCCACCAGAGGACAGGTAGGAGACACATCTTCCCTCAGACCTCCCATGTTCATGAAGCTTTGTATTCCTCAGGGAGAGACTGGGTCATTTGTCAAGCAAATCTCTCATCAAAACTCAGTAAAGCTTTTCAGGCTCACCAATCAGTATTTACAGACTGGAAAACAGAACACCTGGGTCCTTGCCCTAGGGTGGACATTGACAAGTCACAGTGTCTCTGGTCTTGCTTTCCTCCCATGTAAAATAAAGCTGCAGTGTATGTGTGATTTTTTGGTTTCTTCTAGACTGAAAATTCCATGACAGAAAGAAATTCACTGAAAATTTATTTTGGTGTTTTTTTTTTTTCTTCTTTGTAGTCTGTTGTTTATTTGGTCAGTGGTCTCATATTGAGCTACTTATCTTAAAAATTTGTGCGTGATTCTCTAGAATGAGACATTGCTGCTTTGTGGCATTTTCCCACAGTGTAACCTTTCTTCTCTTCATTTGCTATTAGGAGGTAGGTCTCGCTGATTGTTCTTGGTTCAGTAAGAAGAAACAGAAAGATCTTGTGTTTTGAGACACTCTTTCTGGATCATTTCCCAATGATCATAGGACTGTGTAATCCATTTGGCAAAGGTGATAGTGACAATGAGGTGTTTGGCAAAGTGGATGGGGTGGTTGACAAGTGGCTTGGGTTAGCAAAAATGCTCTTGGCAAAGACATCATGAAACAAGGATGGAATGTTCAAAAACAGGGAACTTGCGTTCCTTGCTGAGAAGACTCTGAGAACTCAATCATTAAAGAGATGATTTGTTTAATAGGAAACAAAGAAAAGGGTATCAACAGCAATAATTTTTCTGTGCACTGAACTGAGATATAGCTAGTCTAATACCTCAGTTATAACCATGTATCAAGATGTCTTTGAACAATATAGAAGTTAGGCAGGCAAAAAGTTTCTGAAACCAGTTTCTAAAATTAAAAATTGGATTTAAAATTCTAAGTTGCCCACTAAATATTAAACAAGAATCTAAGGCTACATTGCATAACTCCCTACCCTTAAAATAAATTGAGGTCTGGATAAAGCCTTGAGGTTGAGTTATTTTTACTAAGTCAACCCTACCCACTTCTATCCTCCGAATATCTACAAATGAATGCCCAAGGACCATAATGACATCTAAATAAACCAAGTGTTAATCTGAGTGTCTGTGCTCTAAAATAGTTGTTAGAATTGTTTTGATGTTAGTAGTCATCAGATTTCACAGAAACTGTAGGGGCCAAGCTGTCATCACTTGGCCAGGTGTGGTGTGTGTGTGTGTGTGTGTGTGTGTGTGTGTGTTTTCTGTCAATGCTACTAGCTATAATACTTTACTAATTATTGTTGGAACACCAGGGACTTTTCTCTTAACCATCTGGGATAGGAAGAATTGAAGAACTAGTGAATGAGAGCTCAGAATAGGTCTCTGAAGAAAGAACAACACATTACCAAATCTTTGCAGACTACAAACAATTCAGAGTAAGAATGTTAATGTCATTTATTGTGTGTAGAATCCTTAATAATGGTGTCACCTTGAACCGAAGAAATAAAAACAGAGAAAGAAGACTTAAAATTAGTGTTTGGGATGTTTTCCAAGAATTTTGAGTTGACCAAGCAAGAAAGTCAGTTCTCCCAGGTCTCAAATGCCACAGAATTAAACGTCTTTGTCACAGAGTCTGACAAACGAATGCTTAAGCTATATAACTTTTTCTTTTAGGTTCCTATTTAAAAAACAAAACAAAACAGACATTCACTTTACCTAGCAGAACTCTAAGTTACAAAGTAAATTAAACTAGTATTCTTTACAATTTCATCAGCAACTTTTTGTTGATAATTGACAAATATTTGTTTTTAACAGTGATGAAATTGAGTGGAGCCTTGTTTCAGAGATTAGGTTAGGTAGACAAGTGAGGGAAAACAGTAATTCTCAGGCCCCCAAAAGGTTTTCAGATTGACCTATTATCTTGGGCTAGAGAGCCATCCTACCTTGCTCCACTATTTATTTAGACTTTATGTATATATTTATATATAGCTATGTGTGTTTGTTCTACAGGTCAGATAACCTGTACATATACGTGCACATATTTAGTTCCAAAATTATTAACTGAAGGTATTATTCAAAACATTTTTTAAAGTTTAAGAAAATGTACCCATGTGTCCAATTTTTATGTTTTTATCAATCAGTTAAAAATTAATTTAATGCCCCTCCCAAAAAGAAAATGTAAAATTTTCACCTGAGAGACTGTTATGAGAATAAAATCAGTCACTCCTCTAAAGAATATGTAGAATTTCTCTCAGAAAAGACAAAGGACTTGCCAAAGCCCACACAGGTGGTTAGTAGAAACACCAGAACTAGAACATGGATCCCCTGAACTTAGCTCTAGCCTACATTCCACATCCTCTGTCAATTCATACACATACTCAAATATTTGTACATATATGGTCAGACTCTAAGAATGATACAATGTTGTGATTTTTGTGGTGCTGTGGATTGAACCCAGGGTCTTGTGCATGCTAAGCAAGTGCTATACCACTGAGCTATACTTTCAACCCCAAAACACTATTTAGAATCACAGTTGTGTGCTGTATAGAATAGTTTTGTTGAAAATCTGTATTATAAAGTGCTTGCAACATCCTGAATTCAACCCCCAGTACCCCCCCAAAAAAAATCTATATTGTAATACTGTTGAATTCATATTATTTTGTTTAGTGAAATTCTGTATCATTTCTAATTTTTATTATTACTATTTTTATTCTCTTTTTTAAAAATCTATTGTAAGAATAAAGCTTTCATAATTATGTTAAAAAGGGTGTTTAACTATCTGTCTTTAATCTTAATACAGAGAAGTCTGTTATGCTTATCTTATATATTTAAGCAGCTTTGTTGATGTCCTGGGAGGTGGCTGTCCATATCATTATAAATTAATATATGTTTATCTCCCTTGAGATAAGTGAAACACACTCTTAGGAAAGAGTAAACATTTTATTATTTGTACATGGAGCGGTTTGGTCTGAGGACACACAAACATCTGGCTAACTCATAAAAGTAGCCTGGAGCAACGGGAATGTTGAGGTCATTCGCCATTTGCTGCTGTACTGCCGACTTACATTATCTACTCACTAAGCACCAAGAGGCCCAGAATGGACACATCATACTGTACATAGGAACATGCTGACATAGGTACCTTCAGCAGGTTTTAGCAAAGCAAGAAAATGCAGAGCAGCCTGTCCTGGGGGGCAAATGCACTGCAGAAGCAATATGCTGAAAAGCAGCCACCAGTGTCACAGACCAGCTTCAACTAGCAGAAGGCTATCAGAACAGAATCTCAAGTGTGGAATGGCTCCAGTGGTCTGGGACTGGTTGGCATCACAAGGGTACCACCTGAAGGGTTGGCAGAGGCCCACGGGGAGGAGCCACATACTCTTCCTCTCTGAGCAGCCGCAGTAGGATATTTTTTTTGTTCTTGGGCCAGCTGTAAACATGAGTGTTCTGAAGCCAGGTGGGCACATGCTCCTGCAGAAGAGAGAATGGTAGGAGGAAAGGTCACTGGAGGAAAAACCTGGATTCTAGACCTCAGGCTTAGTTCCCAACCATCTCTGGTTTTCCTTTCATGGGCGTTTTCTACCAAATTACCCTGGGAGTTATGTTGTTTTGCTTTTGGAAGGGTTTGCAAAGTGAAATACACTTGGCTTTGGGTGCAAGCTGTAGATCTCATTATGGAAACCACATGTGCACAGCATTTTCTGTCAGTCTCCCAGGCTACCTGCCCTTTGCATTTCAATGTGCTTTTCACCACCATCACATAAAAGGGGTAGGACAGAGGTCACTCAGAGTGATGTGAATTCCCCTGTGACTTCAGGAGATGGATGCCAAGCCTATAGGCTTAATCTAATTCATTATCCTTTCACTCTGGCCTACATTAGAGGGAACGTATTAGACCTCACTTACCAGGTAAAGGCAGGAACTGAAAGCCTATTATTCTAGGGGCTCAGTTTTTGCCTACTTGTCTGTAATAGATGTTCACCTTGGGCCAGACAGATGAGCAAAGTGGGTGTTTTTTTCAACAGTACTATGTGCCATGTAGTAAAATAAACTAGGAAAGGGGAAGGCAGTGCTAGGGTAAGGATAAAAGGTTTGCAGTTTTAAAAGAAGTGATTAGGAAAGGTCCACTAAGAAAATGAGCAAAGACCTAAAGGAGCATGTGTTTGTCCTATTCGGCCAGATTCCAAGCCCGTGCAAAGGCCTGTGGTTGGAGTGTGCCAGTTCTGTTCAAAAGCAATGAGGACAGTGTGGCTAGAGTAGAGGAGGTGCATGAATGAGCGTTGTTTGAAAATAGAGGGGTCAGTGATATATAATAGGGCCTCGTAAGATAGATTCTTTTGGGAACTGTAGGAGTTTAGAAGCAGCCCCTGGTATAGGTCAGGCATCATGCTGAATAAAGATGATATCCACTGAAAAAGACACAGTAACTCTCTTAAGAAGTTCAGAATCTTCTATGCTGGCAAAATGCACATGAACTCTTTTCTAGGCAGTGGTCACCAGTGAGGCCCAAACTGCGAGCAGTCTTTCTTTAGCTCTGGCAATAAGGCGAATGTCTGAAGGATTTAAAAACTGTAATGAAACCAACTAGAAGTTGGACTGTGTTTTTTATATCATCCTTCTCTATTAATTTTATTATTTTTTTTAATTTTTTATTTATTTGCTTGTGTGTGTGTGTGTGTGTGTGTGTGTGTGGCCAGCTCAGCCCACCAGGGGGCGGGGCTGGCTGGCATGTGGTGCTGGGGGATTGAACCGCGGTCCCTGTGCTCTGCTAAGCTTGTTCTAAGTAGGTGCTTTAGACCACTGAGCCATCTCTCCAGCCCCTCTATTAATTTTAAATAAGTATTCTCAGCACTTCCACTTCTACCTACATATTATTGACAGGAGATACTATAATTTAGAGCCCTCAAGAAAGGGACAGTGAATAAATACACCAGTTAGGGAAGGGAAGTCTCAAGGGAGTTGAGAGACACTGGATAATACAGAGATAAGAAAGCGTTACTAGATAGACAGAGGGGACAAGAAGGGCAGAGGCATGGGGCCATGAGAAGACACAGCATGTGTGAAGGCATGCTGGAATAGTCTGGTATGACTAAAGCATAGGGCACAGGGTAATAAGAAAGAAGGCTGACGAGTGCTCAGTTTTCTTCAGGGGGGTATCATGCCACGCTAAGAAAGGTAGATCTGATTTTGCAGAGTGGAACAATGCCACAAAATTTTTAAGCTGGAGAGAGGCAGATCAGATCTACATTTTAGATTTGTAGTAGATGTTCAGCTTGGGCCAGACAGATGAGCAAAGTGGGTGTTTTTTTCAACAGTACTATGTGCCATGGAGTAAAATAAACTAGGAAAGGGGAAGGCAATGCTAGGGTAAGGATCCTATGGATGTTCCTTATGGATGACAGAGCAGAGGATGTCTAGCATAGGTCACA